ATATTTGACAATGTTTCCTGTATAGTTTTAAGATACCAAATAAACCTAATTTGTCTCTCTTAGACTTTCACTGGCCCTAATATTTGAAAATGGCTAGTTTGAGGTCAAGACTGAATTTAAAATTCTGATGTTGGAAAGTTTGTCAAATATCAAAGGCTTAAGAGACTTATCATAAAACAGGATCACAGGTTACTATAAAATTATTGTCATTCATTTAGCCAAACTGATTGATTCAAAGATTTTAAAAAGCAAAAAACCTTACTCTCTGATAGAGAGGAGACTCAGTTTCCCAAACAATCATGAGATCTTATAGAGACAAACTGAAAGACAACCTAATAAAGAGGTGACCTGCATCTGTCTCTCTTTCTCTCCCTTCTCTTTTTTTTCTTGCAGTTTACTCCAAAGGTGAACAAAAATATTTTATCATTTCTATTAACATTATAGGAAAACCTTGTTCAAAAGAGAAAACAAAAGTTTACCTTGGTATTTTATTATTGCTGATAAAGCTAATTTTAATAACACCTTATAAGTAAATCCATCTAATTTTAATCAACTTGGCCATAAGATTTTTATACTTTTTATAATTTTTATAATTTTTCCAACTTTTATACCCATTTAGTTTTATTTGTCACTTATTTATTTAATTGTTTAATTTAAATCAATTTCTAAGACCTTTAAATTAGGCAAAATTCCTTTTTTTGACAAAAATATTTGTATGCCTTCCCATAACCCTTTTTTAATCAAAAAATATATCCCATTTTTCTTATATGTTTTGCATATAGAACTGTTTCTCTTGTATCTAGTAGCTCTAATTATACTTATCAATCACAAGGCCAATTCTTAGAGAAACTCAGGAAGTTAAAGTAACTTTGAACTGCTATCAGTCCCCAATTTTTATTAGCACATCTAAATATATTTAACTTTCTATATCATATAAAAACAAGATGTCAAAGTATATAAACTTAAACTTATGTTTAATAATTATTGTTTTAGTATTTTAACTTATAAATGACTCATTTATGGTTGTTCTCTTTAATTTAACATAACACGATTTTAAGATTTTAGATTACTGAAAAGAATTTTGAAACTACAATACAGGTACCATCCCTAATGTCCTCCCCAGTCTTCTCAGGTCTCAAGTATCCACGTGGCATCCAAGATGGCTACAAAGGGCAGGGCCTCTCTGAGTCCTC